TGCTACTTCCAACCACCATCATACAACTCAACAAAGCTCATAGTTCTATGCACTTAAAGTCATTTAAAGAATCGATGTAATGACCTTCATGACCCACTGTAAAAAGAAAGAATCCAGGCACTTGTGTTATTAATTGACTGGGTTTGGGAATGTGGAGCATCGTTCCAACATGAAGGTCGAACATTCTGTGTCTGAGAGTGAGAAATCGTAGGTACTCATTGAAACGACTTTTTATTGCTATGAAATATCCTTCAAGTTTCACACGTCTATTAAAAGGTCTCAGCTGATGTTAGTTCGTTAGTAGATCTGTTCGCGAATCGGAATCATCACAACCAATACAACATGTAAATAATCGCTGTTAACTTCAAGGACGAATGAAATGTCCACATCTTCCTAGCTCACACCGTTTCTCTAACTAAATTCAGTTCATAATGCAAACTATCTTCAAACTGAACACCCTCATATTTTCATTGTATACATTTTACTTGAGTGTAATTGGAGACAAATTGTTTGAAATTCGACTCTCATTGGAAAAATAAATGGCGCTGATACTGGTCATGAAGAATACAAAAGTTTTTGAAATGTTTACCCGGAGAAAACTGTGCAGAATATATCGAAGAACAATCTCCACAAAAATTGCAGTCTGTGTCGCTACTTAAAACGAAGTGGAACACATTTGAGCAAATTGTAAACAGATTTTTAATAATTCAGACCGCGTAAAAATATCAAATCGGATTAAACAGTAAGTCAGGGATTCTGCAAATATATAAAGCAATTGATTGAATAATATTAATAATAATACCTTGGGAGCGGGTGTGATTTCAATCAATATGCGATGCTTTATTGGTTGCTACGAAGGTGAAGAATGTATTTACATTTTCGTCTTCCAGTTGAATATAACGACTAAGATTGGGAAGATGGAACTGCATATCAATTTTGCACGAAACAGACATTAAATTGGATGTTACGCAGTGATCAATTACTGTAGATATCTTAGTCCTACAGTTAATCACTCCTGAACTAAGTTGCCAAATAATATCTCCGACTTCTCAACAGGTGACAGGAGCTCGAGTCATTTCGGTATCATATGTTCCGTCACCGTTGTAGAACTGCTACAGCGATATAGCACGAAACAAGTGTCCGAGGCTCATTACCATTCCACCTCACACATTTGAAGTTGTAATTGTCGAATGTTAATAAGTAATGAAGTGAACGTCTTTATTGTTCGTTGAGTTATTCTTCCGAATTCACAACAGAGTGAATTTCTGTAATCTCATTTTTATTTGTGTTACTTGTATAAATTGTATTATGATGCTATACCTTTTTAGATATTGTCTCTTAAATTTTATTCAGTGTTGGCCTATACAACAAAATCAATGTAATCGATTTCAGAATCAAATTTGTGTTGTTCACTTTCTAAGTATGAAGTGAACGCGCGAGTTACTGACATAGACAATGCTCCTTATCTCTACTCCATCTGATTACACTTGAGCTTATGCAGATAAGTTAACTCAAATGTAGATGTGTGTGAATGCGAATTTCTTTGTTGATTAACAGAAGGGTCACTTAAGGCCACATCATTACTAACCATCATTAAAAACTGAACTGTCGATTGGTAATTTGCACAACCAATGTTTTGTTCTGTGGTTTAGTATCCACCCACATGAATTCATTTGTGATTGTAAACTGAGTCCAAGTTACTAAAATGTTAATTAGGTCTTTCAGTTGAGACTGAGTGCTAGTTCATCAGCTGTTTGTGCATTCTTGACATTATCTGATTAGATATTACTAATATTCTAATGTAAAACAAATTTATGCGTCTTATAAAATCAAGTAAACATGATTAAAAATCGTGTGAGAATGCACAATTATACATTTTAGTAAGAGACATGTCCGAACTTTGCTAATCGACCAATATTCATTCTTATAATAAATAAACTAATTAGAGGTATTAATAATCACTATACAAAGCGTTCATATATCGTTAACGTTTCTTGATTGCATGAATAAAGTATAATTATTTAGTGATTTCTAAGATAATATTTTACTTCTAAATTAATTTGTGTATGGAATATGTGCTTCTTTAATTTCGTTATTTTTTAATAATAGGAGTTTTGAAATAAAACTGACTTACTTACTTACTTACTTACTTACTTACTTACTTACTTACTTACTTACTTACTTACTTACTTACTTACTTACTTACTTACTTACTTACTTACTTACTTACTTACTTACTTACTTACTTACTTACTTACTTACTTACTTACTTACTTACTTACTTACTTACTTACTTACTTACTTACTTACTTACTTACTTACTTACTTACTTACTTACTTACTTACTTACTTACTTACTTACTTACTTACTTACTTACTTACTTACTTACTTACTTACTTACTTACTTACTTACTTACTTACTTACTTACTTACTTACTTACTTACTTACTTACTTACTTACTTACTTACTTACTTACTTACTTACTTACTTACTTACTTACTTACTTACTTACTTACTTACTTACTTACTTACTTACTTACTTACTTACTTACTTACTTACTTACTTACTTACTTACTTACTTACTTACTTACTTACTTACTTACTTACTTACTTACTTACTTACTTACTTACTTACTTACTTACTTACTTACTTACTTACTTACTTACTTACTTACTTACTTACTTACTTACTTACTTACTTACTTACTTACAACACAAATCAGTGATTACGTTCAGGTTTATGTAATAAGATCATTGAAATATCTTGCATGAGAGTTGACAACGCTTATCAGACAGTCCAACACACGACAATGGATCAATCACAACCTACATACCAAATATGTTAACTCAGAGATCGTTTCTTTGAGACGAGAGTTTATTGTTAAATTGATTGTGCTTTTTACGTGACACTGAAATGTAAATAGAACAGAGAGAAGATTTGAATGAATTGTCTGTGACAGCCTTAATTATTTTGAAAAATATCTAACCCAAACTATAGAGCACAAAATAACGTGACACATGTATTATGGTAGATCTGACTTACTGACTTATCCTTTTTTTATTTTTCCATGATCTCTGTTTACATTTTACTTTCTCTAGTTATAGATGATTATGACCAATGCTTTATGACACTAGAAATCGCCTACTATATAGTTCAAAAGTATAGTAAGAACTGTAATATTCCGCAGGTTTATTTACAGTTAGTAAGATGTTTCTGAAATGTGACTTATTTAATCAAAATTTACACACTACTTAATTCAGTGATAGCTACTAAATCAAACATCAATTATGAATCATCTAAACAGAGAATATAACAAACAAATATATGATATTTAATTTATCAATCGTGAGATCCAATCAAAATAATTTCCTGTATCTTCCTTTAAATAAAATTTTAGTTCACAAAATGAGCATACTTGATACCTTTATTAACTTTCTATTTCATACGGTAATTTTTCAATACATATAAAAGACTTCGACAGAACACTGAGAGGACGGAGTTTATCCGAGAAATGTGATGGTCGATAGCATTCGATCTGCACTAAATAAGGACTTGACCCGCATGACATAGATCACCACCCACTGATCAATCAATTGTGATTACATCTCAGTCCTACAGGAGGTCAATCGCGGCCCGGATAGCTCAATGGTAACGTCTCTGACTGTGAAGCTGGGTGACACGGGATCAAATCCGCCAGGGAACACCAGTTCCTTCAAGTTTACAGGTACACCTTGTTGACAAGTGCCAATTAGCACGAAACCCGGGTCCAGGGTTTCCTGTCGACTACCTCCAATCACAATCTAATCTCGAAAAATGTGATGTAACTGTGCTATACATTTTGAACAATCTGATCACACACATATACCTGTCAGGGCATTTTATATGAAAATTAATAAAGGTCAATTAAATGAAAGTTCAAGTAAAATAACAAAAAGGGGAGAGAACGAATAAGAAATTGTCGCGTTATCCTAGGCCATAGAATGACTTAAGGACTACCAAGGTAAATTCAAGATTACGACAAATTGTTTTTGTACACTTAAGGGGGCTTTAAATTTACGAATAGACTAGGCTTCAATAAACTTAAGAATTCGTCTATGACAATTTCTATACAACGTTCTAAAAGCTGCATTAATGTCAATTTTGTACCCCGTTTCAATTATAGATTTTGCTATCGAAGAACCTGGATTTCTACCTCCCACATTAATCGGATCATTTGACACACATTGATTTTGAAGCCATCTAGGCACATGTTCATTGACCCTTGATTACATTGTTCGATTGCTCCTCCCTATGTATGTGTTCCACACAAACATGTAAATTGGTAAATACAATGGGATGTGACGTAATCATTAGTGCATTGTTTGGGTATATTAGGAATAATGGGCTTTTCATGGACTTTTCAATCACAACCAACTGAGCAGGATATAGGTATTCTCGATGTCTGCTTTCAATCTCTGTCTTAAAACTATGTTGTTGGACTCGCCTCTATATGGTAGATTGATATAAACTTTTTTCTTTGGAACTAAATAAACAATAGGTCTGGGCATTAACTGACTTTTGCACCTATTAATAAATTTTAGTGGATAGCCATTTGATATTAATATGTCAGTCAGTAGCTTTTCATCTTTTCCCACCTTGTCAGAAGTACAAATTCTTTGAGTCCTCTTAAAGAAACACTTAACCAGGCCTCACTTCTATTGCAATAGACAAAAACTATGGAAATTTAAGTATTGTCCCGTCCAGGTTGGTTTCCTATACACATTTTTCAGATAAACTCCGTCTTCTCATTGTTCTATCGAAATTTATAAAATGGACTAATTACTTTAAATATAAAAGACTATTTTATTTACACAACAAGCTGGATCATAGATGTTCAATGCTGAAGAGTCTTATACTGGGGACGAAACGATCGTTCTAATGCTTTCAGCTTTCCCATAATGGTCTAGTTTTAATCAATGCATGAATTCAACTATTATCAATTTGATTATGAAATATCAACAAATTTATGAATGATTTATTTAACAATATTAATGTATACAGAATGAATTAAAACTGTCTTTTGTTTTCTTTTTCTTCTTTTTCTTTTTTCTTTATTTTATTGTTGTTGTTGCTGCTGTTGTTGTAGTTCTACTCATTGAAAACAAGTGAATATGTGCATTGAATTATATAAATTGTGTAATTGATTATTTATCCTGATTTAAATAATTGTACGGCAACATTTTGTAGATAGAAATAAATAAAATTATTGGTTTCATGTGTTACGTAACTATAGAAATAAAGAATAAATAATCAAAAGTAAATATATAATAATGATACCAATTAACATGGTTTATTGAATAGTGTATGTATAGAAACAAGAAAAAGTTATTACAGATTATGAATCAAAGTTAACTTGATGTAATGGAACTCTGATTGTAGCTCATTTAAGGTTATTATTGATCTTAAACCAGGGTAAAAAATAGGAGGGTTAAGTATGGAGTCATCAACCTCTTTCAATAGAAAACAAACTTGATAAAAACACGTTAAACTGGGTAATCTAATTTAATAAATCATCATTGGCAATTCATTCACTGCTGAGGTGTCCTACAATTGGACGAAATGGCCGTCCAATGTTTCCAGGTTTTCCGTGGTGTTGTAGCTTCAACTGACTCATGATCTTAACCATTGAAATTACTATATTATCCACAAAACCCATCTGATATTAGTTCTCTATTATTAAGAAATTATTGTATTCATTAAAGAACAAAACAATATACTAGATAGTACTGTTGGAAAAAGTAAACATTTTCACCATTTATATATAGTTGTAACTAAATGACATAAGTTTGTACGTATTATTGCCAAGGTTGAACTTCAGAGCTCCATATATAGTGAGTATCGGATAGAAACTTAAGAAATATAAGTTCTTCTGAAGTTTCGTCACTTAGTGTATATCACTTCTTCAGAGAAGAGATAAAGTTTTTATACTCATTGGAATATTCAATGATATTAGGAATTTAGACTGAATTGTTTTGTCTTCTGTATGATTTTTCACAGATTTGTCAAAAATAAATTTACTACAATTTTAATAAAATAGGTATCATGAACAAATCTAATTTTAGTTAAATTTAGACAACAATACCATTGGATGCCGGCTCAGTGGTATAGAGGTTAAGCGTTTGCACGCGACACTGATAAATCCTGGGTTCGAATCTCGCTAGGTGGGATTGTGGGTACGCACTGTTGAGGAGTCCTATACTAGGATGAGAAGACCGTTTAGCGCTTTCAGGATTTCCATGGTGTTCTAGTTTCAGTTGACTCATGACCCAATTTTGTTGAGAAAAATCATTTTAAATAAAATCTTACCTCTAGATTATTAGTTCAGATAATGATGAATTATTCAATAATAGTGTATTTATGAGCCATATTTCCGATCACAATAAACTGAAAGATTATGCCAATTCTCATGTTTGTCATTTACTTAATTACATATCCACTTTTCGAAAATAAACCAATCAATGTTATATCCTGGATGAAACAAATCATTTCGAGATAGTGGTGAAGATTTTTAGCTCAGGTGGATGATTTTGTTCTCTGAGTTGGATGATTTAGTTGTGAAGCTTTCATTGTTCTCCTGAACGCTGTCATCAGCACGAACCTAAAGTTCAAAAGAACGATGAAAGCTCCACAACCAAACCATCTAATTCAGAGAACAGAAATCCAACAAATAATTTCATTTTCTATAACATAGTACATCTTAAATTATCTACTACAATAACTGATTATCTCAAATAGTGTAATCAAACAATATTGATTAAAAGAAACAAACAAAGAAAACACTTTGAAAACAAAAACAAAAATAGTTACCTTCCAAAATTTTTACCAACAACACAATGCCATGTTGGACCATAATTTTTATCAAAATGTTTTTTAATATAAGCTGCAATATCTTTTTCAATATTATATTCAATCATTGCTTGAGCAGCTATATCAACGGCACATTGTTGCATATCATCTGACATATCAGCATTTTTAACAACAGCTTTTTTACATTCCATATTATATTAGATTTGATTTGATATAATTGACAATATCAATGAACAAAGAACTATAGGAAGTGTAATATAAGACTCTTATCATTTACATAAACATGTATATCTATCTCTATATATATATGCATGTGTTTAGACAGTAGATTGTTCTATACTGACCTGAAACAGTACAAAGTTTAACATTTAGTAACATAACTTCAACTCAACGAATAATGTCTTTACATTTATGTAACTATTATTTACTTTGATTTAATTAAAAATGAATAAAACTTTCAAAAGATTGGCTAATGCAAATGACACATAAAACTACTTGAGTTTGTATAGACTAGAAAGATCAAATTTACATATGCATATGTATATACATATATGTATACATATCTAAGTTAATTTATACGAAATCAAAGACTAAATACACTCATATCTATAATCTGTGTATCATGGTAAATGTTTACAATCAGAATATTAAATAACTTGGTGTATATATTTATCATTAATTTGTATAGTCTTTTGTTTTGTTTTGTTTTCTGTCTTCAAATCTAAGTTACTTTAATCATTTCTATTGAGAAAATCAGAAATCTAAACAGTTATTTTTATATATGATATATAAATTATAAAATAGACGATTAGTTGGTAGAATTATAAGAAAATGATTCAGTGAAGCAGTGGATCAACAAAGCAAGAACAGCATATCTACAACTGTAGAACATCTGAAACTTAAAACTGTTATTGACCAAAACCATAGTCAAGACAGTTTTACTGTATGGGACGGAAACTTGAAGAACTATGAAAGCTAACATCCAGAAGATACAAGTGTTTATTAACAGTTGCTCATGCAAAATACTTCGGATCCGTTGGCCTGACACTATTAGCAACAACCTACTGTTGGAGAGAATAAACCAGATTCCAGAGGAGGAAAAAATCAGGAAGAAGCGCTAGAAGTGGATAGGACACACATTGAGGAAAGCACACAACTGTGTGCCACAAGGCAAGCCCTTATATGGAATCTTCAAGGTCAAACGAGAAGGTGAACACCAATGAACACATTTGGCCGATAAATGGAGACAGACTTGAGAAGAATGAATAACAATTGGATTGAACTATGAAGGAAGGCAGAGTGGGACAGAGTGTGTTGGAGAGTGTTGGTCGGTGGCCTATGCTTCATTGCGAGTAACAGACGTTAGTAAACAAGTACGATTCAGTGGAACATGACAAGTGCATTGCTTCACCAAATTACTGTTAAATTATACAAGTCAAATTCACTTGGTGTTGTTTTACTGAATCTTCCGATTGATGATTAGGACTGCCATTGATCAGTCCTCTTATTGACATACGTGCATGCTGTGCAAACGGCTTCAATATTACCTTAATTCACAAGCATAATAAACAAAGATAGTGACTAACAGTGGAATCTAGGACGCGTCTTTCGTCCTATTTAGGACTCGTCAGCTGAATATATCTACGTCTCAGAGTTAATGTTCACTCGGGGAATCGAACCTATTACTGCTCGTTTCAAACGCCATCGCATTATACACCTAGCTACTAAGTCATGAAAGCCAATTATTTGTGCAAATTAAAAAAAAATTTAGGCAAGAATAATAAACATTGATTACAGAGCTTACATGTAGTTGACAAATAAAAAAGCCTGTAAAAATATTCCAATTAACACCTGGTATAGAAAGAGTTGATATATTGAAACTATAACTTTAGTATATGTGCTGTGAATGAGAACACAAGTGGGGACAACCAGTATACATTTTATTACAAAATACAGAGTTCTTTGGTAAAATATAAAAACCATATTTTCAATACATCTTTTTTAAACCCTTCATCAATTGTCTCGAATTTCCTCTATGTCCCCATTCTCTTTGATTCAATCTTTTCAACCTTCTGATGCCAGGTATTCTACTTCTGATTGATGTTATATACTACTTATATTGACATGAGCAGTATACACCATATACGTATATACGTTTTCTAATAAAACGTTTAGAAACGTATTGAAATGATTCGAAGATATGATTTAAAGGTTGTATTTCTTTTTATGAAACTTTATATTTTAAAAAAAAATCAGTTTTGCTTATTTTTATATTGGCTTTTGATCCATTAAAATATTTACTTTAATCAGAAACCATTGATCACACTAAAATCTGAACTTCAATAGTGGTGTGTGCTACTTATATTGACATAAGTAGTATATGATGTTAGTCGTGAACAGAAGGTCTGACAGCAGAAAGACAAGAGAATTGAACAGTAAAGAATGGAAACAGAGTGCAATTTGTATGAAAATGCAAGAACAATGAATTCTGAGTCATTTTCAGACAATTGGTGGACATTTTGCTAACTACGTATTTACTTTATGAATGTTAGATTTTACTAACAAGTCATGTAATTTTGTGTCAAATACATTCGATTGTCCCCACTGGTGTTCTGTTCACAACACAATGGCTCAATAAAAAAATAATAATAAATGTTGATCTACTGACTATAACAACAAAGATGTTTTAATTATTATAGAATTTTCATAGATTATTTAACCTATAGACTATTACCTGTAATTAGTAGTTCGATGGTGTTTTGTTCTCTGAGCTGGATGGTTTGGTCGTGGAGCTTTCATCTTTCTTTTGAACGACATCATTAGCACAAACTTCAGGTAGAAGTGTATAAATAGCAAATTGTCATTGAACAAACTTGAGTTTATTGATTCATTCATTGATATCTATATATAGTGTGACTTAATGTGGAGTGATTTTTTTAAAAACTTTGTTTTGTAGTTTCAATATCTATTCCTAGTTTATTATAGAAGGATAAATTGCAAGACTATAGAAAAAAGCTATGCTTGCACAGAAAAAGTAGCTGAACAATAGAATTAATTACTATGTCAAAATGAAATAACAATACTTACTTCAGTGCTTAATATGTACGTGAAATGTTGAATTATAAATGATCATAAGCTAGAATGATGGTAAGAAATTGAAGATTCCTGGAGAATGAATATATCATGGTTTGATAATTGTTAGCAGTAAATAATTTCATACTTTCATAAGATTGTATGCAGTATAAGTGATATTCAATCAGATTGAGATTGTTTTAAAAATTGATTGATTTACAATTCCAAGTTCAGTTAGCCTATAATATACAGGGATATTCATCAAGTATCACTGGTGTTATCGTCTTAACCTTGACATCACTGGCTCCACAAGATCAAGATTCCAATTTGAACTTTTGGAAATTTATTTCAATGGTAAACATAAAACGTTTTTTTTCAAGTAGTCATCAAGATCTTTTTCATTTTTAAGACAAAAGTTCGTGATTGATATTACGGAATTCAAATTTATGGATTATTTTTTTCAAGCAACACTGTTTATGCAAAGACTACTGATACTCATCATTTGGTCAAATAAACTTAGATGACATGAAGAACCAGATCTACATTTAGTCAAAATTATTTATTATTCATCACATAAATTTCCTTAAGCTTTAACTAATAGTAACATCAGAAATTTGATAGATACCATATCATAGACTACCATTTATTTTATTTAAACATATAAATATTGGTGCAAGAGGGTAGCAAATAGATATGCTCCACATAAATCAGTCGATTTATTTGAGGGTTTGGATACTACATGGGTGTCCAAACCGAAGCAGTTGGTTTTCTTAGGAGGCTACACCTGGAGCCCTCGACCTAAAGGTCTAATCCACAAGGCAGTGGAGCAACGTCAGGAGATGCACTCCCATGGTAGCCGGTGACCAACGATTGGTTCATACGCCATTTGTTCCCTCAGAATACTAGAGCCTATCTGCATCGTTCGTTTGAAATCAGGGTTTTCCAACTCCCCTAGTTGGATTCTCCGTGTCCACCGACCCGTAATCAACACCTCATTGAGAGAAGGCAGTGAGTAGGACTTCCCTAGCAGTGGTTGAATGCATATATATAGCTCTATAATGCTACATATAGAAAATGGTTGTATATTGTGTTTTCTTTGATCCATCATTAATTCAGTAATTTATATACATTAAAAAAAATACTATTAGAGAAAATTCAAAACTTTCTATGAATACACAGAAACTAAGAAATTGTTTATATTCCTGAATTAGTAATATCAAGAGACATTTCACAAGATGTTTTGCACATACATACATACATACATACATAGCAACATACAATATATACTATTCCAAGTAATCATAATGGTAAACATGTGATCAATTAACTTGTATCAACTTATGTACACATTAGATTGAATTACTTGGAATTGTGATAAATGCCAAATAGTAAATAATAATAAGTAATAGACATTTAATTATTAATCAGTAATTTTTACCTATCATAATTATTATCATTTGAATATCATTCATAATGGAAGCACAAAAAGTAATTGTAAAAAGTACTGGAATGCCAAATGATATGCAAGAACATGCTATTAAATCATGTATAAAAGCAATGAGAATACTACGACATGATAAAGATGTAGCTAGTTCATTGAAAAAAGAATTTAATGATAAATATGGACGTACATGGCATTGTATTGTTGGAAGTAATTATGGAAGGTAATATTTGATTTGATTTTGATTTATATGTTATGAAATTTGGTTTTAATGACAGTTGTTTAATTTCTTTGATTGTTCATTGTTCAGATTGAGTTTGATCAGTATTTGTCGACAATATAAACTCTTTAAGAGAATGACTTCATAATGCTGCTTGAACTTATAAATTAACAATGGAATCGCTCTATTTAGGAACCATTAGCTTGATGTATCGATGTTCATAGTCATACTTGAAATTGTAGTCGATTAGTTAAAACATCAATGTATAATTTATCAATTATTGATTATAGATAGTTAAATAAAAGGAAAAGCGCTCTCTGGATACTATGGTTAACTACTATTCAAAAGTATATTTATTTCTTTGATTCCTAGGTCCTACAGTCTGAGTTAAAATATCAACCTTTTTTAATGTCAAGTAAAAATATTCTTTATTTTTTCTGTACTACTCTATTGATTGGTATTAATGTAAACACATTCACAGTGACATTTATTTCCTTTTACTGTAAATTCTTTGTTGTACATAAAATTTACAAGATACCTCATA